GGCCAGTGTCCACTGGTTGTCCAGGTTGGCCGTTGGGCAGAAGCTCTGGTTCCTCTTTAAGTGGTGATGCCCCATACCAGAGCTGGTTGATATTTGCCAAAGCTGGTCCTGTGGTGATGCATGCCTTCAGCGTTCTTGGTGCTTCCTGATGCAGCTGTGGCTGCGGTTCACGTGGCCCCGGAGTTTCTGAGTCTTACTCAGTCTGGATGGCCTGGTGGCGACAGAAAAGAGAGATGACTTGAGTTTCTAAGGTCCTTAAAAGTAATGCAGTAGCCGCATTTCAGCTATAATTCCTAAGCCAGTTTGTATGTGGTGATGGTCTTTGTAATACTCACAAGAGAGCTGGAAAACTGAGGGACACTGAACGGAGTGTCCAGCTGAATGTGCACGCTGTTCTTGGTGGCTTTGTGTGGTCAGGGTCAGTTTCCTGCCATAAGCAGTAGACTGATGCTCCTGAACCGCTGGATCTCTTGGGTGGCCTTTCTGTCCAACCAGCACACAACCCCTTTCTTAGGAGGCTTCTCCTGGAAACTGTGCAAGATGATTTCGGAGGCCCAGGGGCCAAGGCTGATGGTGTTCCTGTTACTTCTGCCCACATTATGCTGACTGGAATTAGCGTACGGTCCCAGTTTGATGGAGGGACAGGAAGGGTAGTCCATGTGAGCAGCCAGGGGATGTCCATTTCAGCACAGAATGAAGTCATTGTCACGGTTCACCCAAAGGCATTGTAACCCGGCAGCCACACCCTAAGGACAAGGGCTGTTTGGCAGCTTTGGGAAGCTCCATCATGCCTAATGTGGTGGCACACTGGCTGTAATTAGGAGACAAATGAACAAGTTTGAGTCTAGTCTGGGCTACATAGATACTGTCTTAAAAATAATGCTTTAGCTAACTGCTGTAAAGTGAGGAGAGCCAAATGGGAGGCAGAGGCAGGTAAACTCTGAGCCCAGATCTCAGAGTTACAGGACAGACAAGAGAAAGCCTAGGGGGTAGGGGGTGAGGAGGAGCTGTGAAAGTGGGGTAGTTGGTACAGTGCTTGATTCACTTCTGGAGCCCCAGAACTCATGTAAAAAGGTAAATGTAGTGGCCCTTACCGGTAATCTCAGCACTGGGATGGGGAGAGACAAGGGTCCTCAGGGTTGCTGACCCACCCGTCTACAGAATTGATGGGCTCTCTCTCACTCTTACACACACACTCACACACACACACACACTCACACACACACACAGGAGTATGAGGACTGCCATATATACACATATATATCCAATAATTACATATTATTGGCTATTCAAGACAAGATTTTGTGCTCTATTACACAGTAGTCTGAGCTGTCCTAGAATTTAGGCCAGCTTTGAACTCAGCCTTCAAAGTGTTGGAATTATTGGTGTGATCCACTGGACTCCCTGTTGTCTGTGGAAAAAATTCTTAGAAAAGTACAGCGCATGTTTAGCATGTATGTATAAGAATCTGCGTTTAAATTTCAGCACACACACAAAAAATTAAAAGCAAATAAGAGAAAACAAAACAAAAGAAATATCCTGGAAGATACTACTGCTGACTGCCAGCAGGTTGTGGAGTGCCCAAAGGATGCAAAGCCCCAAATCCCTCACTTTGCCACCTGACTCAGTTGGGCAGCCTGAACATGGCAAAGACACTAGGCCCCACAGTTCAGCAGTGGCTGTTCTGCACAGCTTGCTGTATGAACAGCCCCTTTGGGATGCTTGCCTTTCTATAACCCTCTGCCTTTTTGCAAATGCCCTCCCTGGCCAGACGCCTTTCTACTTCTTACATCCAGGATGTGGACACATCCCAGCTGGAGGCCCTGGGTCTCTGTGGAGCAGCTCTATGGCATGCCTGCCCTCCTCCTGCCCGCTTCTGCTCCAGGGAGTGTTTAAGGGCTGGTTTTGCACTGGACTCTCTTCTTTGCTCTTTGCCCTGCTGGAAATGGGGTCCCTGGAAGAGCTTGGGAGGGGCAGGAAGAGGAAACAGAGCTGCCTTTCAGCTTTGCCCAGGCCTTGTCTTCAGGCTACAACTTCTCTACTTTGTTAGACAGATTCCCAGAATAGCAAACAGCCAGACACACCCATATTTACATCTTGGTGCCAAAGCTCTTTCCAAACAAGAAATAGAAGTGCCTTTCTGTTTGGCAGCTTGGGGTCCACGCTCGCTCTTTCCTTCATTCACGCAGATAATGAGGGATGGCCACTTGGGCGTGACACTGTGACTGCAGGAATTGTGGCAAAGCAGACCTAGCCTTTCCTTCTCTTGTTCATGCCTGCCCCTCCCAAATTCTCCCACATGGTCGAAGTGTTTCTGATGTTACTTCTCCTTCAAGTGTGAGGCTGGCGGCTTCCAGGAGCAGAGGAAACCGCCTAAGTGACTATGAAGAGTTTGAAGTGGCTTTGTGTGAACAGTGGTGGGTTCAGGTGCTGGTGCCCGGTGCTCTGACAGAGGCAGATGGAACTGATGGAGCAATGCATGAGGGTGATAAGACAAAGGTAGGCTCTGTCTGCCAGGTGGCCCACACAAGCCTTCCTTCTTGTTAACTGCTGGTACTGCTTCTATGTCTTTTCTCATTATCACAGTCAGCCTTGTTAGGCAACTGGAGACATTATTAAAAATACATAAGAATTCAAAAGAAAGAGAAAAACCGCATCAAGCTGATGCAACGTTCCCCATGGAAAGTATCAGGAGAGAGTAAGCTTAACTCCAGTAAGTGGGATGATTAAAGGTTAACGCTGACTGTAGGTCGACTGTGACTTCCGAGACCCTACATCTACCTGATTCCCCAATTTATGTCAAGAAAGAAAGTGGGAGACTCCATAGTCTGAAGTTCGTTTCAGCTGTCTTGAGCTGCTCTAACCATCCCTGGGTGGAGATCAGTTGCTGAAGGTTTATTACCCCAGGAGAGCATGTCTTCCTTCTGCCTCCCTGACTGGTTACACGTGTGGATGTGTGTGTTCTATGCCCGTGTAAAGAAATGACCTTTCCAGAATTTCAGACATGTTTGTTAATCTAGCTGTCCTAGGTAATTTTTACATGGATTATTTTGATGCTGTTGAAAGCAGTCTTGAAAAGCCATAGGGCTCTAGCATGCGCACAGCAGTCTTTACAAAAATACATATACAACATACTCACATACATACATACACACATGCACACACAAGAGGAAGCTGTGTGTCTTCATGCACATATGCTTAGTAGCCTGCTTTTAGCTTTGTTTTTTGAGGTGGTACTTCCTAGGTCCCCAGTCCCTTGTTTCACTCTATGTAATAGACTCTGTGACTCCTGTATTATTAGAGAAGAGGCACTTAGAAAAGGGAACTGTGACTTTATTACTTAATAAAGATTATTACCAAATAAATAAAATTACACTAATCTTTCAATATCTTTTTAGCCAAAGCATCTGACTTCTCCCCTCCTTAAGCTTACTGCCGAAACTAGTGAAAGCTGAGAGTAACTAATTGGGCCATTTTCTTCCCTTCCTTCATCAGTGTCTGATGGAGATGCTGTGATGAGCAAAGTAATGAGAAGTAGGGTATACAAGAGGAATTGTTCTCAGGACACACATTGAGCTTCGGAAAACTAAAACAAGAACATTAGAGATGAAAATATTTTCTGTTCCTTGCCAGAGGCTGGTCTGCACTTGGAGCTCAGTATGCAGAGGTTTCCGGGCAAAGAGAGGGTAATAGGACGTTGATGTCTCTGCTTTTAGGGAGCTGGTGTACACCCAAACTCTGCACCTGTTATTTAAAAAAAAATACTATTACTATTATTAGAGGTGGGGCTGCACCTGCACTTGTGAAGGTCAAGGGACAACTTATAGGAGTTGGCTTTTTTCTTTTCCTGAGTGGGTGGCAGGGCTTGAACTCATCATGTTTGATGGCAAATGCTTTTTCCCACTGAGCCTATTCTGCCTTTTCTAGAGAGACCTGAGAACTGGGTGTGATGGCGCATGCCTTCAGTCTCAGTACTAAAGGCTCAGGCCAGCAGATCTCTGTGAGTTCAAGGCCAGCCTGGTCAACATAGCAAGCTTTAGGCCATTTAGGGCTACATAGTGAGACCCTGTCTCAAAAATAAAACAGAAACAAAGAAACAAATGAAAGACTGTGAAGAATCAAGAGTGTTCTTGAATCCTTATAGTTTCTCAATGATTGTTACTTTCACTCCCATCTTAAAAAACAGAAACAAAAAGCAAAGGAAAAAGGGAGAGGAGGCTCCTTGTATGGGCTTTGAACCCTAAGCATTAACCTTGTATATTCTATTGATGTCTTCTAGGGAGACATTAGTGACTCTCAGAGGCCAGCATGGAAGTTTTTCTACGTCACAGCCATCAAAACATACCCATGGCTCTTCCCTTGCGTTGTGTGTTTAAGATGAAGTCATTGCAGGGAAAATGTGGCTGAACCTTGGCTTTATAGCTCCCCAACTATTGCCTCCCCTGACGCTCCCCTTGCCTGGCCTACCATAATGGAGACATGGAACTTTGTAGTGGTTTATAGGCCATGGAGATCTTCTGAGGGTCTGTGGCTGTCTTTGTTCTTGGTGTTGACCTGCCTGTGTCAAGCCATCTTCAGATTATAAGCATTTAAAATTTCTGTTAGATTGAGATTATAATGAAAAGTATACAAATAGTCAGGTTACTGGTGTTGACTCTGCTGTAATCACAGACAGGGGCAGCCTAGTTACCTGCAGCCTGTCTCTCTAAGCTTCCTCATTTGTAACAAATGCAATGACAGAAAGAAATAAATATTTGCTGCTGCAGCATCTAAAGTACAGGGTTTTTTTTTCTCCAAATTTCTTGTCATTATAGAATTTTGTTCTCATTCTTTAAAACACACACACACACACACACACACACACACACACACACACACACCAAAAATTCTTGTGAGTTACATTGATTTGATAGCAACTGCCCCAAACCCTCTTGGTGTCCTACAGATGAGACGTCTGTGAAATCATAACTGTGAACTGCACTTTTGTTCTTCTCTTGCAGAGCAAGGGAAAGGCAGCCTTCAGGTAACATCGCTGGAGGATGCGGCATGCCGCAGGCCGAAGGAACGCCTATCTAATGGAAGCACCCGGGCTCAGGTGTCCAAGCCTGCCCGAAATATCCCGAGGAGACACACTCTAGGTGGGCCTCGAAGTTCCAAAGAGATCCTGGGAATGCAAACGTCGGAGATGGACAGGAAGAGAGAGGCATTCCTAGAGCATCTAAAGCTGAAGTACCCCCACCATGCCACAGCAATCATGGGCCACCAGGAGAGGCTGAGGGACCAGGTAGGAACATGCTGTCAGTTCTCCCATTCTTGCTCATTCATTTAAGATGTTTACATATTTATTCATGTGTGTGTACATGTAAGTGTCTGTTTGAGTGTATGTAGCAACATCCATGTGTGGATGCAAACCTGTGTGTGCGCAGAGACCAGAAGGGGGCGTCAGTTGTCCTCATCTACCATTCTGCACTTCAAGGATGGGTCTCCGAACCTTGCATTTTCTCAGCTAAACTGGCAGGCAGCAGGCTCAAGCGTTCCTCCGCTCTGTTCGCCTTTTGGAACTGAGGTTCCAGGCATGCACAGGGGGTGGAGCATCCCTTCAGCCATTCACTCAGGTTTGTTACTGTTGCAGTGTTAAAATTAGATCCAGGCCCTTGCTTATGCTAGGAAAACATTCCCATATAGCCCATTCATTGTTTTCTTTCCTTCCTTCCTTCCTTCCTTCCTTCCTTCCTTCCTTCCTTCCTTCTCTTAAAGATTTGTTTATGCAGGGCAATGGTGGTGCACACCTTTTAAAGGGATTCTGGCCAGCCTGAGCATGGCAAGCATGGCTCTGGCAGGTCTGGCCCTTCTTATTCCCTCTGCCTTGTTGAATACTTACTATCAAGACTTGGTTCCCATGAGTTCGTCACGCAACCACAGAGGAGGCCTTTTTCCCAACCCACAGAGAAGAAACGGAATCCTGGGCTTGCAAACCCCGAGGCTTATGCTTACTAGTTGGTAAGAATCAGGGCTGAGTTGAAATGGAAACCCAGGCAACCTAACCAAGCTCTTTTATTCATTATGGAACAGCTGAAAAGTTTCTAAAAATGCCTGACGAAGGGTAGCCCACTCAAGAGCATGCCTCTGGCAGGCCTGGCCCTTCTCCCCCATTCGCTCTGCCTTCCTAAAAACCATTAGATAACATTCTAAAGCTAGCCACCAAGGTCTACTCCCTTATTTGGATATTTCTTCCTCCTTAGCCTGACCATCAAGTTCCAGCTAGCAGAGTAGTCAAGTCCAGCAACCAAAAGCCCCCTTTGGCTCACCTAATTAACATGCCCAATTAAAACTAAGCACCTCATCCTAACATGGGGTTTCCCTTTTTACCTTTATAAACTGCCATTTGCATATTGGCCATGTCTGTCTCTTCTCCATCCAGAGGCAGTCCTTTGTCCCTTGGGACACATACCTTTTCCCCTCCTCCTTGCTCCTTTCCCCTTCTTCTCTTTCTCCTGCTCTTTGTCTCTTACTCCCTGCCTTCTATCTCTCTGGGGCAAATAAATCTTTGTGCTGAGAATGTGTTCTTGGGGTCCTGAGAAGGTATTTTTCCTTTCACCTTTAGTCTCAGCAATGGGGAGGGAGAAGCAGGTGTTTCTCCAAGTTCGAGGCCAGCCTGGTCTACAGAGTGAGTTTCAGGACAGCCAATACTACACAAAGAAACCCTGTCTTGAACACCCCCCCGGAATTGTTTATTAGTAGTACTAATATTATTAATTATTATTGTTTTGCTTTTTGTCTGTTTGAGATGGGGCTCACTGTGTAGCCCTGGCTGGCCTTGACCTCTCTATATAGAACCTCAAATTTACAGAATTCTGCCTGTCTCTGCCTCCTGAAAGCTAGGATTAAGGGCATGAGCCACTGTGTCTAGCCTCTTATTATTATTGTTTTTTATTTATGTATTTGTATGTGTGCTTGAGTTTCTGTGGACTACCTGCATGCAGGTTCTTACACAGGCCAGAAGAGGGTACTTGTGAGATGCTATGTAGGTTCTGGGAACCAAAGCTGGGTTCTTTGCAAGAGCAAACTAACTCTTGTAACCCCTGAGCATTTTTCTAGCCCTCACAGCTCATTTTTTTATGGAGCAAGATGACCCTGGGGTTCACAGTGAAAAGACAGGTTGGTGTTCCTGTCACTTCCTTGTTTCTGATCTCTAGCTTAGCCACTGAAAAGCTTTAATGTGATAGCTGAGAGAGCACTGTCTTCCTAACCAGCATAGGAGAGAACAGGAGGCCTGACCCAAGAGGAAGTCTCACATATCACGCAGTTCTCTATCTAATGCACAGACCAAGAAAGATACTGAGTTTTGAATAAGACATGGTGTAACTGCAGTTCATCTTGGGAGCACTGCTTGTCACAGTGAATGAATGAATAAATGAATGAATGGATGAATGAATGAATGCAAAAGTCCATAAGTATATGTCAAGGTAAAATAAAGCATCTAAAAATAGACGTGTGACAAGCCTCTTTCTTCAAGCTGACACCAGGCTTTTGCTGCTGTCCTATTTACTTCTTACAAATCACAGATGTTTTTCTTTGCACCCTTTGCTTTCTGCCGCCTTCAGCTCTCTGTTTTCTCTAGATATCTGACAGCCACGCAGATATCACCCGACAGTGGCACAGGGTGCTATTGTTTCTGGGCTGTGTGCGATTCCTTTCTAGCAGACTGAGTGACTTTAGAGTCATGGGAGATGTGAAGCTTCCTTGGTGGCCCTCACTGGCCTGTTATCAGATTGGAGACTGTGGTGGAGGAAGCAGAGAGGACTTGGCCATTCTTCTAAGTGGATGGAGAACAGGTGCAGGGAGGGCCCTCCGAGCAGACTCAGGTACCGAGCGGAGCTCCATGTTTGCAGTTCATTGTGAAGTTCTGCCTAAGTCACTCAGCTTGTGATTATCCATGGAAATGGGGACTGGTGTCTGCTGGTTCAATTTCAGCCCACAGTTCATCTTCACTTCTGTTTCTTCCTTAAGCCGAATGTTCTCTAAGAATTCTGTCACAGTGCCTAAGGTTGTGAAATGTGCTTTCTTTTCCACACTTACTTTTCTTTTCCCTTTGCATTGCACAAAGACAGACTATGAATGATGGAGAGGAGGCGGGACACCTCAGTGTTGGGAAGATAGGGGCTGATGACCACATCTGTGTGATTAAAGAGGGCTACCTGTCCTTTCACTCAGGCTTGGCAGCACTGATGTGCATTTGAGCAATAGGATCTGCGCTTTCTTCTCTTTATGTCACTGTTTTGGGAATTGCTGTCTTCAATACGAAGCCATTCATACAGAAGTAACTTAAACTCAGATACAGTTACACAATAAGGAAGACTGGGGATCTGAATCAAGAAAAGCATGAACTCAGAATCCTTGTATACTCCACTATCCTAGATGATAAAGATCATGGACTGTAAGTTTGGGTTTTATTGCTGTTCTTTGTTTGTTTCTTACACAGGGTCACTATGTAGCCCTGGCTAGCCTGGAACCCCTTATATAACCAGGCTGGTCTTGAATTCATGAGGATCCATCTGAAGCCACCCTGCCATGTCCAGGGATTGTAAATTTAGAGTAGATGCTTGTCATACACTAGCGGTGCTACACTTCAAGAGGATGAAGCTAAGGATAGAAAAGATGAAAATCTGTGTGCGTGGGAAGACATATTGGTTAGTGGCCTCAGACTACTGACAGCTCAGCTGGAGCCTACAGGTGGCTTAGCAGCTGTTCCCTCATGAGGCTGAGCAGATGCTACATTCCATCTCTTTTGTAGTCCATGCTGATGGTCTAAAAGAGGGGATATTTTGAAGGGCACATCTGTGTGCTCTTAGGTTCTGCAAGTCCATCCTGACCAGCGTAGTAGATACCAGAGAAACCTTGTCAGGGCTTGGGGAATACTTGTTAATGGCACCTCATCTTCCTTGTCTCCCCATCCATTTGCACTTTTCCTGCTACCAGAGCTCTGACTGTAGATTCTTCCCCCTTTTGGAGAAAGTCAAATAACACCATCTGATGTACAAAGCCAGACCTAAATATCAGCTATTCCTTTGTGGTCTGTGTTCCTGCATTCCCAGCATGGCTGACAGAAAGAGAATATCAAGTCAAAAATGATGCATCTGGCATTGTGCATGATAGCTTGGTAGTAGGACTCTTCTAATTCCTTGGTACCAAACACAATGAAAAGATGTGCCCCTGATTCATCTTAGTGTACGTACTAGAATTTTAAATTTAAGTTTAATTTTTAAAAATTTAGTATTGTGTGTGTGTGTGTGTGTACAAGTGTGGAGGTCAGAGATGAGCTTTGTGGAGTCAGTTGTTTCCCTCTACCTTTATGTAAGAATTTAGGTTGTCAGGCTTGTGTGGTAAGAACCTTTACCACATGGGCCACCTCTCTGGCCCTGAATTCGAGTTTTTAAGAATATGAGTGCTTTTTTTTTTTTTTTTTTTTTTGTTTAAATTCTCAATTATGGAAAAGCTGAGATTACCTTAATATTCCCAAAGTCCTCAAAATATACAGGTGACCACTCTGCTGCATAATGCTTGTTTGTATAAGAGTGGCTGCTTCATTGCTACCTCCTGACACATTTAGTCTTTCCCCAAAACTTCTGTTTACTTACTTATTTGTATGTGTGCATACACACGAGGGTACGTGAGTGTGCGAGCATATGTGTGGGGCTACCAGGGCAATTCAAGGAGCCAGTTCTCACCTTCACGATGTTGAGACAAGCTTCTGCACTGCTCTTCCAAGCTGCCCTGCAGTACTGTGGTTATAGATGCCCACCGCCTTGTCAAGGCTTTTTATGTGGGTTGTAGGAGTCACTTGCACCCAGACCCCTTTGTCATCTCTAGGTCCTCTTGGGCTTTTTAAATTCTTCAGGGCCATCAGTCAGAGTCCGTTGCCTGGCTGCTGAGTGCGGTTGGGAGGCAGGCTTCACTGCAGGTTAATTGTGGGACTGGGGCTGTTGATTCACCCTTCTCAGTCAAAGCTCAGTGAGATCTATATCCTAGAGGCCCAAGGAAGGTGCCAAGGAAAGCAGCTTCCTCTCCATAGCAACACTTAGCATTGCTCTAGTCTGCCTTTTGGCCACCTGCATATTTCAAGAACTTTGTTTGAAATCCTCGTTCCTTTCCTGCACAAATGTTTGAGTAACTGAGGTTTATTTTCCCTTTGTCGATAAACAATTTTACTGTATTTCTGAAATTTACATTTTTAAACACTGCCTGGTCCTCCTTTAATCACCCCCTAAAATCTGATGTTATGGG